AGAGAAGCATATATAATCGATGTCTGTTTTGAAGGCCTTGTACTTCTTGGTCTCATCCCTAAAAGGAGTGCAGGGCAAGATGCTCATTGTACTTACCTTATGAACATAGGTACTGTCTTCTGTTAGCACCTTGTCTTGATCCAAGAAAATCACTTAACAGCTTCTGCTTTGGCGATGCTTCAGTTTTCTGTGCACATATTTGATATAGGCTGAATAGTGATTATAAAATTGTTTCCCAGTTGATTAAGTTCACAGCTTTCTAACAGATCATTTTCCTAAAGCTTTTAGGAAAATTGTCAGTGACATCATATATTTCTAGACCATTTTTTTCTGAAGTGTGCTAAATACAAAAACATTTCTCGATTTTGTGTGAAGTTGTTCAAACAAAATTAATTTGAATGAATGTGAGTTTTCATTCTGTGTCACAAAACAGGAAGAGACAGAGTTCTTATTTTTATGTAACCAAGCATCAGTGGCCTTCTTCTCTGTGCAGCCTAACCCTGCTCCAGCTGAGATCCACACTCAGCTGACTCCATGGGGAAGCTTCCTTGTGCTCATTGTGGTATTAGTCTGATGTGTAGAAGGAAGTTGGCTCACTTCCCTGTCTTTGTCCAAAGATGGCGCATTCAAGGGCCTCTGCTTCCTTTTAGAGCTTCAGAGCTTCATTGGCTCAACATCTCAACATTTAGAAAAATTGGCCCTCCAAAGTAGAATTTGGTGTGGTTTGGGTGGGGGGCGGGTTTTGGAAGCGTGTCCTGTGTGATGTTGTTGGAATGGTCTCCTTGTTATTCTCTCTCAAGGACTGATTGTCAAGGCTGTGTGCTACTCACTTGAGCAGGAGTGAAAGGAGCCGTGAGCACAGTCTTGCTTTCCTTTAGGGTCTCCTGTTTTCTCAACCAGTTACAAGCAGAGAATTTGACAAAATGGACATAATCAGCTAATTATATGAACTAAAATTTAACTTATTTGTACATAACTAAAATTTTAACCAGCTACAAATCAAACTGTATTTCAAGCTACTTTCTATGACTGCTTCAGTTTTGTTTCCAGTCCCATGGTAAGCCATCTAAAAGTCTAGTTCTGCTGTTTGAGGATTCCAGAAAGTTCTTTGTACTTGTACTACCAAGTGTCCTGACTAAACACTAATAAATGTTTCTTCCACAATACAATATGTGTGGGTAGTTGACTCGAAGGCTTTTGGGAAGTCCTACATTAAAGCCAGTATGTAGCATTTTGCAAGGCTGCTGTGTTTGGGAATATTTCTGTATCTTATGGTGAGGCAGAAATGGAGTTTTCTGGTCATAGACTAGTTCATTTTTACATGATATGTTTGCTTTCCTTGCTAGTGGAAAGGAGAAGCAGGCAGGTGCCTCTTAATTTTGTTATTGTACAACAAACCTTAGGTTCTTAGTGCTTTTCATGTGTAGAAAAGTTGATTTGTGGCTGCTTTCTCTTCTTGATAGACCTTGTGGGTGGTAAAGATCTCAAGAGTAAGACATTAAAAATGAATGAGGAGACCTAGAGTAGTTTATCTAAGGTGGGGTTGAGAGGAACTAGATGGGGAGGTTTAACAAAAGACATTGATGTTTTAAATGTACAGAAATGCAATCCATCAATAATAAATGGTGTGGCGTAGAACAGATGTGCCAAATTGAGTTATTGCAGCATATGGATCAGTTCGGGGGCAGAGGAGAAAGGAGCGTAACTGGAGTTTTCAGTTTTTTTAATGTTCTGTGGAATACCTTCTGATGACTGCTGTATGCACATTCTTAAAAATTTTTTGAATTTACAAAAATTCCAACTAATTATGCATAATTTTGAAGTAAGAATTAAGGATAAATGAGTTTTGCTTTTCTGGAGAGGCAGACAATCTGAAAATGGATTTCTTGCTCTTCATAGCTGAGTGCTTGCTTTTTAAGAGCTTATGTTGTAATTGTTCTGAGGAATGAAGTTGCGTTACAAAACGAAGTCATGTGAAACTGTTCCCCGGGGTTTTTTCTGCATTGCATTGATTATATGTCTAGATATCTGTTCAGTACATAAACTGCAGAGGATCTCTCAGGAACCCTTACTCATGCTCTGGGATTGATTCATCCGCTCAGCGTGTTGATTGAACAGATGATTCTATACAGATGGCAGAGTGAAGTACCTCACTCATAAGGAAGAAAGTAGAAATATCATTGTTATTTTCTCAAAGGGGGAAAAAATCACTATTAGCAAAACGGAGACAGAAGTCTGAGGTAGAATATTTTATAGGTACAGACCCTAGAGAAGGCTAGCTTCCATGTTCTCTGTATAGGACTGGGTGTGACAAGCATAGCAGGGAACAAAAGTGTCAAGTGTTTAAGATGACTGAGTTCCTGAGTTGGAATTGGTATGCTTAATGAAAAGAACAGGCTTGGTTAGACATAGGGAACTCTTCACCCATCTTAATATCGACCCGTTTGCCTTTTTCTGGTAACTTGTTTGCCATTGGATCTCTGCTTTGTTGCCCCACAAAAGTCAATTCCTCTTCACTCTTCCTGATATGAACAAAATGTTCATAGTTCCTGCATGCAGTGCCAGGTTTGTTTAACTGGACTATAAAGACACATTACTGTGTTGTTGTAGAAGAATTTTCTCAATCTTTGAATAAAGTGTTATAGTTGAAAATGAGGCTCATGATTATGAAAAGGCTTATTTTAGCCATCTGTATTGTTTAACATTCAGTGTTTTCAGGTGCAAAATTTACTTGAATTAATCTTTTCATCTCTAAGCAATTTCAGCATGCCTTTAAAACAGACTTGTCAGACTGACTAAAGCCACCAAATAAATCTATTTTATAGTCCCTTTAGATAATCTCCCTTAGAACCCCCACTGATTGTGCAAGGCCCCATGGTTGGCTACACAGAAGTTTTCCTGAAATCATCTCTGGTTCGCCTTCTCAGGGTTGTTAAGAAGATATTGAAATGTGAGAAAGCTGGTAGTGAAATCAGATTGTGGCTCTGGGTGATCAGGAGAGAAAGCCCAGCATTTCCATAGCACATTGTCTGGCCTTTAGTTGCAGCTGCAAACAATGGATATGAATTTAACCAGTTGCTACAGCACAGCTGGTTCAGATCTGACTTTATAACTGGCTGAAGTAAAATGAAATGGCTGGAAAATTCCAGTCAAGTAACACCAGTGGGAACATGTGGAATTAAATAGTGTGAGCAAATGCTGCCTGAGTCGGGAAGAAAATTTCAGACATAAACTTGAGGGTGGTACTCAGAACTTGGGGGACATTTTCTGGCCTTTTTAATGGGGGTCTGTTGTTTTGGTTAGTTCCCTTGAGGGAGCTGGAAAGTTCCCTCCATCAGAGTGTCTTGCAGAGTGTTTGACTTCTCTGCCTGCCTCCTTAACTAACATCACCTGATCCTTTATATTTATTTATTCATTCATTCATTTATTTGTAAGGAGAAAGGAAGACACTGCTACCTCGGTGACTAATGATAGCCCCTATCTCTAATGCCACCTGTGAGTCTTGGAACAGTGTTCCTATCTCGGGTGACACAGAAGCTCCTGCTCCTTCCTTGTTACCTTTTTTAGTCACCTCCTTTGCATTGGCTGTGAAAGTTTAGTTGTTTGTTCTCCAATATGTATTTGTTTTTACTTGTGCGTGCGTGTGTGTGTGCCTTTGTGAGTTATGCGCACCAAAAGAGTCTCTGGGAGCTGGAGTTACAGGTAAGTTTTGAACCCCCTAATGTGGGTTCTGGGAACCAAACTCAGGTCCTCTCCAAGGGCAGTAAACACTCTTAGCCCCTGGTGCTAGTTCTCTAGCTCCACATTCTTTTTTTAAAAAAATAACTTTTCAAGCTGAGCATGTAGTCCCAGGGGAAGCAGAGGCAGGCAGATTTCTGTGAGTTCAAGGCCAGCCTGGTCTACATAGTGAGTTCCAGGACAGCTGGGGCTACAGGGAGACCCTGCTTCAAAAAGACTAAAAAAACAAAAATAAATAACTTCTGGGGCTGGAGAGATGGCTCAGCAGTTAAGAGCACTGGCTGCTCTTGCAGAGGACCCAGAGTCCCAGCACCCACATGGTGGCTAACAACCATCCTTAACTCCAGTTCCAGGGGCTTTGACACCCTCTTCTGGCCTCCTCGGGCATCGCACAACATAGGTGCACTTATAAGCAGGCAGATATTCATACAAATAAAATCAATAACTTTTATAATTGAAGGATTCTGCAGGAAAGAAAATGGTCTCACTGAAAGGAGGCTTTCATATTATCACTGAATTCTCTCATTCACTCTCTCTCCTCTCCT